TACATTTTTATATGTTCTATATTTTATTATTTATTTAACGAAGAGTTGATTTCTTAAATTTAAACATTTATAACTGTTATAGAAATATATTAAATAAAATAATTCAAGTTTATAAATAATTAAAAAATATTATAAAATAATCTTTAGTTTTTCCATACAATTGTTTATCAAACTAAATTTTAAAAAAAAAATATACAAGATAAAATTGCAAAGAGAGACATTTTATAACTGACATATGTTCATCATAGAAAACCTCATTTCCAAAAAAATTAATTTTGAAAATCGAAAAAAAAAAATATATATTATTTTAAAAAGTAGTGATATTATTTTAATAACATATCACTACTTTTTAAAAAAATATATACAAAATATCTCTAAAATAATGGAAGAGTTTATTTGAAGAAGGTTTATTTAAAGAGAAGAAAGTTTATTTGAAGAAGGGATTTTCAGATCGCGAGGATGGCTCCGTTTAGAACAAAATTATCTTAAAATGTCTTCCTTTGTTCTCTTCTATAATTTTATGTTACATTTTTTTTTTTAAAGACCTGGATTAGCAGGCAATTGCATGGAAAAACTAAAATAAGACTGGTAATAACAATTATTAAAATAAGATTATGTTTAGTTGCGTATATAAACGATCATTGAATAAAGCACTAATTTCATTTGTATAAGCGCAAGAACAAACAGATAGAAAAAAAATTAATTGAGCGTCGAGCTAATGTTAAATGAAAAACTACTAATAATTATAACTGAATAATCCTTTGTCGGTCTTATAAACGTATACGTCATCATTTAATTGTAAATGTCCATTAATGAACGAGGCGCAATAAACTCCTAAATGTGCTGTTTCTTCTTCTCTGTCTCTTGTGTACAACTCGTGGGCAAAGACGGTCAAAAAACGTAGAGCAAAAGGTTTTATTAAATACCTGAAATTAAAGAAATAAAAACTACATATTTAAAAAATTGTTTTAATTGAGCATAGAGTAGCAGCAGTACTAATGCAAATAAACTAATATTATATAAATTTATTAATTTATATCTAAAAATATATTTTAATATGATCAGAAGATTTTTAGATCAATGGAATTGTTATGGTCGATCAGATTTATAACCGTACAATCCAAAACTTAGTAAAATTATTTTAGATCTGTAAGAGATTTGATTATAAAAAGAAATTAGGAATATAATTAATATATATATGGGTGTAATTATTACCTCGGGACCGGTTTTATTACCCTGATGATTATATTTTTTATCTTGATCCATTCCCAGTCTTCCTCGCTATAAGGGATTGAAGATCCCGAAACAACAATATTTGGACGAATCAAATGATGTTCATCACCATGTATTATTTCCTTTTGTAGTTTATCTAACGTAGATGTTGTCATGAGTACGCAACGCGTTACATTCGCGAACGCTTCCTATAATGAGGAAAAATTACTTGGTTAAAATTTTTTATATTTATATGGCATTATTTTGAATAACAAATCTAATTAACATTTTTAGTACATATATAGTACTAAACTATATAAAAAACATTTTATTAATGGTGATTATTTATATTACTATTTATATCACTAATTTATTTTTGTAAGTTATATGTATTTGTATTTTGTTTGATTATCATAATTGCAGATATGCATACTATCTATTGCTTGATACGATTAAATATGATTCAAATAAATTGCTAAGAACAAAAATTTGATGAATAACGTTTTTAATATATTTTTATAAGTTCGACTTTTTAATTGCAAATTAGTTAATTAGTTTATTTTCGAAAAATGCCCGTTTTTCTAGAAGATGTTTACTTTTTGGTAGTAGTGTCTCATATGGCAATCTTATGTCGGACTTGGAAGTTATAAAATTAAAATAGTAAAATCCTAATTAATAAATAATATTTGTTATAATAAAATAAACATAATTAGAAACATATATTAATTACTGTCTTTTCTTCCGCCTTAGTTGAATATATCATGTTGTATTCCATCCAATTTTCTTTTATAAAATTTGGTTCTTCAAGTAAAGGATTACAGTCTCTTTGAACTAAACGTAGATCAGAGGTTTCTAAATACCTAACATACATTAATTTGTTGATATTTAATGTTCTTTACGGATAATATAAATGTTGAGCATTAAAATATATTAAAAATTGTTACATACTCGTTTATCCACTTAGCAGCTTTAGGGCCGCAATCTCTAAGTTTTATTGGTTTGCCGCCATACCATGATGAATAATAGAAGACTTTGAAAGAAATTCTGGCCAGTTTATTTATATCGATAATTAAACTTTGTATTCCTATACCGTTGAATTGCATCAACGTTTCGCTCATATTTATGTTTATCAAAAGCAATTTCCAATAATTCGCGAAGTTCGCAATTGTTTTAGTCTTCTGATTGTATACTAGGAACATCCTAACAATGCATAATGAAAGTTTGATGTTACTTTTACTTTTATAAATTGTGTAATATAAACTCTTTTTATTACACTTTATAAAAGCACTTGCGTCCGCTATTGTGAATAAATATTGTATTAACATTTTAAATTACAATATTTTTTCTTTTTCTTACAAATTGTCATACACGAAGTATCTGTTATCACTTTCAAGTATTGTACAAAAGCTACCGATGTTTGTTAACAAATACAATTATTAGTCTATTTCAGTCAGTTTTTATAAGAAAAACAAATGTCTTCCTTGGATTTAACAATGAGTCAGTAAAGCGTCAAAGTCTTTCAAAAATTAAATTAGACTTTAATTATATTTACAAAAACATAACATTGAAATAACATATAACATTGAATTTTAATAATGAATAATACTTCGAATCAATTATCAAATATATAAATATTATATTGAGTAATGTATTATACATCTTGAACAATATCCTCGTTATTTTACACTAACCCGTCCCAAATTTGTAGATCCGGCATTCGTTGATTCCAGTTGACCATTCCATATTGATTACATCTGGTAGATGATATGGATACTTTTCCCCCCGATTTTAATGGATACATATACAACTGTGTAACAT